AGTGTCCTGGAGTGTCCACTTGAGGCTGGCTCCAAGAGACCCGGAAGTTACATACACACCCATTCAGAAGGTGATCTGACTGATGGGCAGGCAGGCGCTGTTTGCTCGTCTTATCTTGAAGGCTACAGCTCCACTGTGCCTGCTTTGGACAATAGACCATATAGAGAGTTTGTGATGTCACAAAATATCAAATGTAGAAAAACATGTGTGAAACCTTTTTGTTTAGAGCAGCCTTCAGACTGTGGGATTACTTATGTCTGCTTACAAGATGAATATTGTTACAGTATATCCAAACGTTTGTAAGAGCAAAATACCCTCTTTAATGTTTCATTGTTATTATTGTCTAACCTTAGCTCCATGGTAACAGAATCTGAAGCCCTGTGATTGGCTGTGCCTTACCTCCTGTATGTGTGTGACTGTACTTAGGATTTTTCAAGGTGTGATCTGGAAGCGAGGCGGAGCTGAAACCGAAGCCGGAGCTCCACCAGATCCGTCTCCTGGCTCCTGGATCTCCCCGCCCTGTTTCTCCTGTTTCCTCTCAACTCTTTTCCTCTGGAGGCGACAACAAAATCTCTCCCTCAAACCAACATCCTTTGATCCTCTCCATCTCTCTCTCTCTCTGGCGTCAGCATCCCTCCATCCTCAGGATTTGATGTTTACTTGGACGCCGTCTCCTGAGATCCAACGACCAAACAGTAATCCATGCTTCCAACTGCACCGCTCTTCTTTGCTTTTCTTCTTCCGTTCATGTCATCCATTTATATTTTTATTTTATTTGAGTCCGACTCCTCGTCTACTATTTTTCCACCCGAAGCAGACAGAAGGAGGACATGGCTTTATTTATGTCCCCTCTCTTCCCTCTACCCTCTTTTCTTCTATTTCTCTTTCATTTGTTTCTTTGTCTTTGCTTTCCTTTTGTGTCAGTCGGATTTCTCAGCACGTTCTTTGAAGCAAACGGGAGACGGACCGGACTTTCTTGTTTCTTGTCACTTTTTCTTTCCTTTCATTTTTATCTTCTGTTCATCTTCAATTTATTCTTTCTTTCTAGCTTCAATAATAATTTTGTTAATACATTTTTTCATCTTGTTTATCTATTTGTTTCTAGAAAGGTCCTCTTTCTTTTTGTATTTCCTTTGTACCATGGATGTTTTATAGATGTGGATACAGCATTGGAGGCGGGGCTAAGTTCCCTTTCATGGAAGCTGTGTGATAACACACATAAAGCCAGTAATGTCCGACTTCTGCGTGTAAAATTACCCCGATCTTCTGTGTCCATTATGTCTCCAAAATATCTCTGAATTCTGCTTTTATTGTATTTTACAACTTTTAGGAGCTAATGATTTTAAGGGTTATTTAAGCGTTCGTATTGGGAAGTTGACGTTCCTCAAAAGAATATATCCGCCGGTTATCCGTCTTAACTTCATTCCTTCTTCAAACTCTTTCTCCTTCTCTTTTTTTCATTTTTATTCTTCTTTTTATTTTTCCATCATCTTTTCCATTTTTTATTTTCATTCCTCAACTCCCTCATGCCTCCTACTGTTTCTTTCATTCCTAAATTTGTTATTTTTTCATCTCCCAGTCCTTTCTCTTTTGTCTTTTTTTTCCAGATACCTCCTTTTATTTATATTCTTTGTAACTCTTTTCCCATTTTTTCTGTATTTTTTCTTCTCAGTTCACATCCTCAACTTCATTTTCATTCCTGCTTTGGTGCCTCTTTTCAACTCTGACATTCTCCTCTCCATCCTCTCCTCACAACTCTGCCTCCTCCTGGTTTACCCTCTTCGGCTTTAACTTTTCCCCTCAATCTTAGCTACGTCATCCGTCTCATCCTCTGCCTCCGTTCGTCCATCCCCCCCTTGCCATCCTCACCCCCTCCTCTTCCTCTCCCACCTTTCTTCTCCTTCACGCTTTTTTCCCCTCCTCTCTTATCCTCTGCTCTTGCGTCAGACCTCATATGTGATTTTTTTTTTCCAGCACTGGGTCTTTTAAGGATGCTGCTTCTTTGATATCGCTGCTGCACACACACACACACACACACACACACACACACAGATGTACATGCATAAATTCACACTCACACACATATTCAGAGATACAGCGTTGATGCAGCACAAAAACATATCAAGGTCTGACATTCTTTGAAGTTCACAAGAGCATGATTGATGCCTGTGTGTGTGTGTGTGTGTGTGTGTGTGTGTGTGTGTGTGTGTGTGTGTGTCAAAGAGCAGAACATCAAGAGCAGGTGAGTACATGTGAAATGAATACTAATGTGTGTGTATGTATGAACTTTGTACACATGACAAAAAATCTTAAAGTGCAAAAACTTGTAGGACTGAACTTCACATTTTTAATAAACTTCTTTACGAGAGGTAAAAAAAACCCAGAAGGTTGTATTGGAAACCTGCACTTCTTATTGCTTTCTCTCTGCAGACATTAGCTTTCATTTTAGCTTCATTAAGGTATAAATCATTTTCAGAATTGAATATGTTCCTCCAGAGACAACTTTATTCTTTTTTATTGATAGTGCAGGGCGTCTATTTCTTAAAATGAAAACCCAATTTCTCATCAGCTTTGTGTCTCCTGTTTGTCTCTGTGTGTGTTAGTCAGAATACACACTGGAGCGAGTTAGGTGACATTTTTAGCCCTCAATTCTATTAAAAAAATTACTTGATCATGAAATGCACTGATATTAAACTGTGGGGTAGGTGTGCTGTTGTGCATCCTGTGTGTGTGGAACAGGCTCAGTGGAAGTGCGTTGTGAACTCTTCTAAATATCAGGAATATAATGTGCCATGCCATCGATTTTGGACTTGAGACCAGGTTCTAGCTGCTTCCTCGTGAAAGAGAGGTCACAGGTTGGATGTCGTCTCCTCGGCCTCCATCAGCGTCCTGCTGACAAGAAATATGTCTTTCTTTTCACCTTCCTCCTCCTCCTCCTCCTCCTCCAGTGAGTGTTTGTCTCAGTGCTGCCTTCCTGTGGCCGACACTCCTCACTGCAGGTGAGAACTCTGGGTCCTCCATATTAATAACATGGTAACATCACCTTTTGTTTTTCTGCATTGTGTGTGTTTAACTTGCTGGGCTGGACTGCGGCAACATCAGTGAGTAGAAACAATATATTTATATTGAAGCATGACATTTTCAGATAAGAATTTATCTGTTTGGCATCTTGTTAAATCCAATTATTTTCTTCTACCTAAAAAAACTGACGAGACATCAAGATAAATCTTACCTCAAAGTTCAGAGTTTCCTTAATTTCCCACATACATTTCTAAAAAAAATCTATCAAAATATTGAGATAACAGACGTACACTGTGTAGAAAGTGAGTTTGCTTCCACTCAAACCTTAAATCTTATAATCTTAACAGGAAGTAAAAAGTGTCATGAAGACTAAAGTTTTGTAATCTTTGGCAGCATTTAAAGCAAATAGTAATGAATTTCAAGAGTGTTTTATGGACTTTTACCATCCAAACGATACCTGAGATGCCAGAAGAGAGCAAAAAAAAAAAAAGGTTATAAGACTTAACCATTTAGCATTTTAACGTGAATCTGTAACTTTACCTCTGCTTGCTCTCTCTGGTGGACAACACTAGCAAAAAAAAGTCAGTAAAAGCTCTTAAGATTCCAGCATTTTTGATTGATTATGTGACACAGGAAATACAAAGTGATTTTGACTAGTCTGTCAGAACTGTTTGGTCCGAATACACCTAATAATCGCAAAAATGCATAATCAGAGAAAATACATTAATCAGACGTCAGAATAACCACTGTTACACAATTGGAAAACATTCATCTGTAAAGCCATTAAATGACTAAATAAACAAATATAAAGGAATTGAAGTAACTAAACTAACTAACTAAAATAACCTTTAATCTCTCACTGATTCAACATGTGCTTAAATCTCACTGTACAGTAGAATATATGATCATCTTAGGCAGTTTAAACACTAAGAAAAGAACATGAATCTCTTGTGGAATATACAGAGTCCGCCTTTCAACAGAAATGTCTTCACATGAGGGAATAATGCAGGAAGCCTTTAATGGATCTTTCCTTCTGTAAGTGGAAAGTGCGTCATCACTCCACATGTGACTGGTGCTAAAGAAAGCAAAATATATGATGTGAGCATAATTGTGGAGTCATTGTGGTTAATTAAAGGCGTGCATGAAGCGACATGCAGCTACATTTCAAAGTGCTGTGAAAATCAACACTGAGTCAGGCTTGGCAAGAGAACGGGGAAAGTCAGCACAGGCTCATGAAAACCACAAAGTGTCTTTGATTAGTGTTGTGAAATATAAACTTTTAAAGAATGTTTACTATGTGCTGCCAAGTTGAATAAATAAAAACACTACTGATCTTTGTAATGATGGATGACTCACGGCTTTACATGGGAATAAATCAAACTTTTATTAGGACACGGGGAGGATGGAATTTCAAGACCAGCAAGAAAAAAAATCTAATCATCGAGCAGGATAGGACATAGAGTGTACATATCACAAACTAGCTGAACAGAAATGGCCCCCAAAAAAAGCACAAGAAATACTTTAAAGCCCTATAATACTCCAGAAAATATCTAACTTTTGGACAGTCTGCCCTGAAATCTCCCAGAGTTCCCTGACACAGGCATTGTTCCTGTTGGTTGGGGGGGTGGGGGGGTTAAGTTTTTGCCTTAATATCAATGCTGCATGTAATTGGACACACATCATTGGACAATTAGACATATTCTGAGTTTCATATGAGTGGAAAAAACAAACTGGAAGGCAGGAAAGGGCATGCATGAAGGTCAAACTTGTCAGTAAATCTGTGAAAAGGCTTTTAGATAGACATTGAGTTTAAAGGTACTTTTTAAATCATGCAGTTATTTAGTGTGAAATGTACCTTTAACCAGGAAATCCTTCTGACTTTAGGAGTATAGATAGCTTCCAAAACTTGAGGTAGTTAAAATGGGTTTATTTTGGTTGTGTAGCCTTGTAAGAGAGAGGGACATTTCTTGTCCAATAGCTGAATTTCACCTTCAGAAACACGATTGAAAGAAATCACTTAATTTCAGAGATGGTTGAATGGGTGTCCTTCTCTTGCTACGACTAGTGAGGGTGATCACATTCCAATCATTTAGTCGACCAACCATGGCACTTTCCAGCTCTGTGGGTAAACAAGGTCAAGTAGTTTTTTCCGAGTGTGGCAAATGTTAACAGCGTAAGCACCACCAGCCTTTGTTCCTTCTTGCAGGTTAACGTCCACACACGTGCCTGTGCTGAACATACTAGTACACAACTAATTTAACCGACTAGTAATTCTTGCGACATCCCCAGATAAAACCAAACTGATTTTGTAAAGTGACCTAACTTTGAAATGTAAATCTCTTATCGTGGTTCCTTCAAAGGGTATTTACTGTGTATAGGTCTGAGAGAGAATGGGCCTTATCAGTCTCTGGTGGAGTTTCCTCTCGGACAGGAAGGGGGCTTCCTCTGCTTCCTGTGCTGTAGTGTGTTACTTTGTGTGTGTGTCTGTGTGTGTTTGTGTGTGGCCCCAGGAGAGATTGCAAAAGAACAATCAGTGTAGAGAGAGAAAGAACAAGAGTGAAGCAGCCGACACAAAATCTATAATAACTTGGACAGAGAGCGACGGAGACACTGGAGGGAACCATGGAAAAATCATCTGAGAGACAGATACAAAGACAACAAAAGACAAACTGACTCAAAAAAATAATAATCAGGAAGACCAGGACCAGGAAGGCAAGTTCAGAGGAGGACTGATGAACGATGGATTATGAACCCAAGAAAGCCAAGAAGGTAAAAAGACTTATTTTCTGTCTCTGAGGTTGTCATTATTTAAAGCACTTCAAAGTGTGTCATGTCTATCATCGAAATACAAACTGCAACTTGTTGATGTTGTTTCAAGTCCTGAAGATAAAGCTTAAAGTCATACAGTAGATCCAATTTATGGTCAGTGATTTTTAAACCTTTGGCAAGCCTTGCCCCTACATAAAACCTTTATTACAGGAAGCTATTTCTTGACAGTAACTTTGCCAATACGCAGATGACACTCTGATTTACATAGCTCTTTCACCAAGTGGCATTAGTCCTTTAAAATACTCTCTCAATGCTTTGAACAATTTGGAAGCAATTATATTTCCTTCAATCCAACAAAGACAAGACAGATATCATTGTATTTGGCAGCAAGGTGGAAATAATGAAAGTCATTGCTCAGCATGATTCCAGATCCTTGAAATTTGCTTCATGAATAAAACTATGCTGCCTTGCTTTAATCTGTTTGTTGTTTAATTTGTCCAACACTTTGGTAGTCTGATTGTAATCAGCGCAGCAGTCTCCAGTTTCTAGTACGGTGTTTCGGGTTTGAATTTTAACTTGACTTGCATATGAGACAGTTGTTTTGTGTATCCTCGCAGGCCTTATTATGTGTGTGTGTTGTAATGCAGTACATCCCTTTGGCTGTTGCAGTGGTGATTGATAGGTGAGCAGTGATCTCTGACAGCTCCCCACGGAGACTCACCGATAACACAGCACACACAGTTAGACACCCACTGGCACACACACCCAAACACACATTAATATACTGTGGCTTGAAGGCATAAGGAGAATGGATGTTATAATACATACACACACTGAATAGTGAGAGGAAATTAGCTTGTTTTAAAATCAAAAAACTTGTCTTTCTTTCTGAATAATTACAAGGGCAGAACTCAACGTAAAATTAGAAAGTTTTGTGATAAACATCTCTGTAGTCAGCTGAATTCAATTAAAAAAAGACAAAAGCAGATGATGGTTATAATGACTTTTCTTCTTCCTCTTGTTCTAGTGGGTTTTCCTTGTAAGCAGAAAGTGGGGAATAATTGGATTTTGTGATGAATGTGCTTAATCTAACAACCTGCTCAGGTAATACCAAGGTGCTATGCAGCTAGTTAATACTTATTTTGCCCTTTTTCTCTTTGCCTTTCTTCTAGACCAGTGGAGAAGTGTTTAACATGTTCCAAAGAAGAGTCTATATAAATGAATTGGGTTATTTTATTTAGATATATGAAATCATGCAACTCTTTCTTTCCTTTTTGTTGCCAAATACAATTTGTTTTAGCGATTGAAATGGCATTCTGCAATTTACTTGTTCTAGCATCAATTGAGTATTTCCAAAAGACCAATGTCACCTGGTGGAAGAGTTAAGTAAATTTGGAGTATCGTCTGCGTATAAAAACATTTGTCATTCATGAATTGACCTAGCAGGAGAATGTTTAGGTTAAATAAAAGTGGCCCCAGTATCAAACCCTGGTGTACTCCACATGTGTTGTGCTGAAACGATGTACGATGCCTTAGAAATATGATCCAAACCAACCAGTGACAATGCCGACTAATAGTGCCCAATTTAGCCATTCTTCAAGACCTGCCAACAGGGAAGTGACCAGTTTTTTTTGACTGTGTTGGCCCAATTGGGGCACAGATAATAAAATCACATTTATATACTATTTCTGTTAATACTTATATGCCAGGCCTGGCCACCTCTCTGGGCATGTATCTGCCCAGAATGGTTTAACCTCTTGGGAGCAGGAATGTAATTTTTATTCTAACAAGGAATGCTAAAACCAGTTCCTTCCTTTCAATTTTAATCTATTTCTCTGTCTCTCCCCATTCTCTTTCCCAACTTATATTTTTCACTTTCTCGCCTTAGAGTTTTGTTTCTCCTATTAAGCGTCTGGTCTGGTCAAAATCTGCTCGCAGGCCGGTTGATCGAGGCAGTGTGTACCGTCGCCCGCTGCACACTGTTCCTCTTTACCCTCCTGACTACCTCATCCACCCTGAGAGACTCATCTTCGACTACATAGAGAAGGAGGTCAAGGTACAATCTCAAGTACCATACAGTACAACAAAATATACCTCGGTCACCATAGACTATGTGATAACTGGACCATTTACCAAACCATTGACCTCTTTTCTTAGTTCCTTGGCCACCTGACATGGGTGTCAGTGTCATTAAACCCCTCCAGCCGAGACGAGCTACTACAACTACTGGACACAGCAAGGGTGAGTAACCATAACTCACATTAGTGAGGTTTGTGAACATAGCGTGAACAAAATCAAGCGCTTCAGCGGTTAGTGATGACCAACCAAGATATAACTAATTTAAGATGCCAGTACTAACTACATTACCTATCTCCTAAATAAGAACGATTTGACTGTCAAGTAAAGTCAACTGTTTTCATTATATTCATTGTATTAGCACTCATACATAATGATTCACTCTGCTGCTTTTCATTTCACAGTGTCGACATCATTAATAGAAAATCTGTAATCCCATATTCTGTGTGTTGGTCAGTAGCAGTTGAAGGTGCTGCCGTTGAAGACCAGCGTGGATCAGGACTGTATCCTGAGTTTATCCGCTCGCTGTCTGCTGCTGACATGGAGAGACAACGAGAAGCTGCTGGTGAGGATTCCCACGCATGAGATTGCCGCTGCCTCCTACCTGAGAGATGACGCGCTGCACCTGCTGGTCCTGAAGACAGGTGAGGAATAAATACTGTGTGTAAGCAGTGGACTGTCAGGTCTATTAAGTTGTCAATGCTGAATTGCCTTCAAAATGCATTCTTCATTGGCAAGGGCCAGAAAGGAGTGACTCCATTGGTCTCAATGACATCACCCATTGGTTTCAGTTGCCATATTGAAAATTGCTATCTCCACCTAACTTTTGGTTAGCCTAGTTACATGCAAAGAGGTCGAGTTGAAGTGGTCCTTGAAAGTAGTAAGACTACATTCTTTAAGCTTGAAACCCAGTATCAACCAGAATGATCAAATGTTAAAAATGCTCTTTCTACAGGTCTGAACGTTGATACAGTTGTCGCAGGTGACGACAGCCTGGACAGGAAAAAAACAACAGGCGTAGATGGTCGACGTCAAACCATGAGTAATGCTGACCCCCGGCCTGCAGGGGGCACAATGGAGCGAAGACACACCATCTGTGGAGTGGACTGGAGGCCGTCCCTGTCCAGGAGTAACCACGACAAAAACCAGAATGTGGATAGAGGTGGAGTGGGAGTGGGAGTGGGAGTGGGAGCAGGAGGAGGTGGAGGTGGAGAGAGAGCAGGAGGAGGGAGTCTGGAGAGGAAGAGAGTGGGAGGGAGCTGGGAGAGGAGGCAGCAAACACGTAAAACAGGAGGAAGCTGGGAGAACCGCAGAGCGAGACCCATGAGTGGGAGCTGGGGAGTGGGAGTAGGAGTAGGAGGAGGTGCCGGAGGCAGTTGGGAAAAGAGGCATGGTGGAGGTGGAGGAGGTAGCTGGGAGAGGAGGGGAGGTGGTGGAGGAGGAGGCGGCGGGGGGAGTTGGGAGCGGCGGCAAGCCTGCACAGGAAGTTGGGAACGGGGGAAGAGTTATGGCAGTTGGGAGAGGAGGAACCACAATCCACTGGAACCAACGCCCTGCCCGGACGCCTACTGCAACCTGGTCATCCTGGCTGTGGAGAACAAGGTGGGATATCTGATTGCATAATGCCGTACAGTAACATACCGTATCATGCTGTACCTTATCCTATCGCACCATATCGTATTGTACCGCATCGTACGTTTAGCTGCTCACATTCAGTATTTTTTCTAAGAAAATGATCACGCAGTATGGAGCTTTGCTACTGGAGACTAAAACACACAGTGTGTTTACTCAGAGATGATAAATCGTAAATATCACTGTGGCTATTCAGTCCAGTCTTATATTCAGATTCCAGAATGAAAAACAGTAGTGTCATAAAATAAAACACAGATAAGTTTAAATTAATTGGTGTTCACTAATCATTCAGCTCACATGTTGGTATAGTGGAAAGTAGGCCAACACTGATGATGCCAATTCATCAACACTCATACACACACAAACACACCACAGTCGAACTGAGACTCTGCATTGTTACATAAGCTGGAGCATTGCATCACAGTTACAGCAGAGAAGCTTTGTCATTCTGTGTGTGTGTGCGTGCGTGCGTGCGTGCGTGCGTGCGTGCGTGCGTGCGTGCGTGCGTGCGTGCGTGCGTGTGTGTGGTGATCCTCAGTTATTGTTATCCTTGTCCTTGGAGCAATCGTTTGTTTGGATTGGCAGCATCATCAGTGTGTCATTGTTCAAGTTGCTCAGATTTAGCTCCCAGACTCAAGTCCGGTTTCATCACAACAACAAGATGCTGGCTTTGGATTTTTAGAGGTTGACAGATCAAATTCCATCACTTATTACTCTGTGTTTATCCTTGAGCAGGTTAGAAATCCTGCACAGAGAGAAAACATTTTTCAGTATACTCAATTAAAGTGAATTAAGGGGAAATTCAGGGTTCTGAAGATAAGGAAAATTAAACAACATATCATTTATTTCCCTGCAGAAAGTCAACATGTCTTTGCTGTCAGAGAAGCTCACAGATATTTTCGACGTGGTATGTAATTCAGTGTTCTGACAGCCTCTTTGTGTGTGATTGCGTGCAGGAGGCCGCAGAGGAGTACTGCTCTCTGATCTGTCAGATGTTCCAGATCATTTACGGCCATCAGACCATTGAGTGTGTGGACAGAGCAGGGTTTCACCACACCATGCCCGACCGCTTTTGGCTGCAGAGAAGTAAGTGACACTAAGGCTTTCTGTTGGTCGGATTTGTCCTGTATTATATATAACATAAAGGATGTAAAAACATAAAAACAAGCCTTTTTTCAAGGGGATTTTGCTACCTAATTTTACAGATGCCCCTTAACATCTGTAGTTGCTTTTGGTCTTGCCAACTTAAAGATGTCATCGAACCAAACACAAACAAACGAGTATCCTGACCTGCAACTTGCAATTTGTTCTTTCTGCTCCCGATTATGTTTTTATGTCCCAACATTAAAGCTACAGGCAACGCTCCAAGAATAGCCAAAAAGCAAATCATCTGTACAATGTTTGTTCTTCCAACATTTTGCATTAAGTTTTAATGAGCATTGCAGTGTCTTTGGGGATGCTCACAAGCTGTTAGAGTGTGACTAACCCGTCTGTGTGTGTCTGTCTCTGTGCAGGTGACAGCTGTCTGACTGACATGTCCTACAGTTATGATCCAGACTTTAGCTGCTGCAGCTCATAGTGAGTAACATTTGGCCCCTACTAAAGCTGTAACAGGTTATGGCCTCCACATAAAGTCAGTGTGTTATGAGTTAATTTAAATGTCCTGTTTTTACTGCACTCTGAATGTTTAGCTCAATAAACACATTCACGCTATAACTGGGGATGTGTAGTAATTCACTCTGGCATAATGGGAGACAAATAAAAAATACAAAAGCGAAAAATAAAAGCATGCATATGCATAAACTAATGTCGACCAGTGCACACATATAACAATAAAGCATCTGTTTATTTTTTAAGTCCAGTAAACATGGTCATGACTCACATGCATATGAAATTCATCTTGACCATAACTCTGTAAATCTGTCCATTTGTAGATGAAGTGAGAAGGTCGTTTTTTCCATAACAAACTCTAGGTTTCATTAACTCCACTCTTTCATTGTGGGGGGGGGCAGGATGCAGCCAGTGTCTAGTTATGGTTTTCTTACCAGCAGATATAATTAGGATGTCAAATAGAGTTCACTGACAGCATTAAAGGTTACCTACTATGCTGATTCCCATTTTAAAGGAACAGTATGTAACTCTGACATGTAGTGTTTAAAATAGGTACTGCAGTACAAATTCAAAACATTGGAGACTCCCCTGCCCCCTCTTCTCTAGAGCCGATGCGCACACAGGTTGTCCATGTCGCAGGCATGGAAGCTGCAGTGTTTCACTAGCTCTGTTAACCGGTCTGCTTGTGGATCTTATAAGAAAAATGCGGGTAGAATCACTTCTATCTGAACCAGTTCTCTTGACCGTTTCCATCGCTGCTACACCCATTGGTTTGACCTGATAACTGGTCTCATATCTGGCAAACCGAGGGGTGTCCAAAACGGCCGTGGTTGGGTCCCTTAAAACCGACTACCTTCTTTGGTCCAAACAAATCCAGAGCATTCGAGTCTGATCTGTGGCTTCTTTCCTGCATGTCATGACCCCACTCTCTTTGAAATAAATAAATAGAGAAACAGGAAGAGAAGATTAATAACTGCATCGCTAATAACATATTGTATGCTGACGTAGCCTAATGAAAAAACTATGTTAGGTTATATTGGGGGTTTTTTTATGCAACATTATGTATAACTAAGTCCCCCTCTGGTTCTCAGTGATGGTTCCCAGGATGCCTTTGAGCTCTACTACAGTGAGACGTACAGTGAGAGTTCATCTCTCTCTCTGCAGGACTCCCATCGCAGTCTGGCTTCAGTCAGCGACGGAGGAGACAGTAACCCTGCTCTGCTGCTGATGCAGGAGTACATGATAACAGTGAGTGTGCGCTGACTGTAGGATATGCTGGTAGTTCAAACACTTTGCTACAGATAGCCTATAGATGTTAGCAGCTTTAGCAATAGTAACAACACAACTTCACACAATACACACTTCACCAAAGGAAAGAGAACAGTAGATGAGCTTTTAGTGAAGAAGTTTTGAATAGCGTTAACTTTTTGGAAGCTTAACAGCACTTGATTCATCTTAACCAATACATTTTACCTAGAGCAAAAAATGGAAACCTTAAGTGTAAAATGAGGAACATAATTTGTAATTTAAGGCCTGATACCAAAATATTTGCTATATTTGTGGTTCTTCTTCTTGGCTTGTTGGTTAAGTCATGTTAAGCTAACCGCTGCGCCAGTTTTCCATAACAAACATCAGAGCTTGTTTCTTTTTTTTGTCTTGTTTCTTATCCCAACTGAAACTGTATTATTGTGGCTGTGTCAACTCTCTAAGCTAGCAAGCTAACTTTACATGAGCATAACTAAACAGTGATGTGTGTGCAACCTGCCACGCTCAGTTCTTTTGTTGTTGTTGGTTTCATTAAGTTACACTTACCTGATTTTGTTGTTTATTAATTTGCCAACTGTAGCTCAGAAGTATTTAATATACTTATTTCTTAAATGATTTATTGATATTGGCAGGGTTAAGTTGGCAGCAGAATCAAAAAAGTAATATTGTTTGTATGTTTGATGTTTGCATGTGTGTGTGTGTGTGTGTGTGTGTGTGTGTGTGTGTGTGTATAGCTGCGTAACAAGCTGAATCCGGTGGAGTTGCAGCACTTTGCCGTGTTGCTGAGAGAATATAGATTGGGATCAAACATCGACTACTTCTGCTCTGAGTTGCTGCAACTGTACGGAGACAACCGCAAGTTCCTGCTGATGGGTGAGAGAGAGAGAGAGAGAGAGAGAGAGAGAGAGAGAGAGAGACAGAGAGAGAGAGAGAGAGAGAATCACACACAAACACACACACAGACAAAGCTCATTAACTGACTGAAACTCTGCAGCAAACCACAAGAGGTTATTTATATTTTATTGTGGTGTGGTGTGTGTGTGTGTGTGTGTGTGTGTGTGTGAACTTTACTGTTGAAGGTTGTGTGTGTGTGTTTGTGTGTGTGTGTGTGTGTGTGTGTGTGAGTGTGTGTGAGTGTACAGGAACTTACTGTATGTGTGAGAATCTGTAGTTTTACCGCAGCAACTTCGACTTCTGACCTACTTCCATTTAGGAAACCACAACTTCCTGTTAGTGATCGAGCGAGACACAGAAAGAGAGAGAGGTGTTGATGTTAGATGTTTCCCCTCACACACCTCGTTAAAGCCGTGTGTGTTTATGTGTAATCGTTGTAATTAAAGGTTTCATGGGAGGAAACCAGATCAGAACAGCAAACACTGAAAGCTTTGGAGCACGCAGACTGTTTTTGTTTTTGTTTTTGTTTTTCGATAGAGGACATGCAGCTTCTCGTCTTTCTTCAATGTCCTTATTTATATTGGACTGATGTGAAAGTTGTGATAAATCACCTTTTAAATACAAAAAATTGCATTTGCCTTTTGTATCTAAACTGCTGTATTATATAACTATTAATACTTTCATTTAAATTCAATAATATTACAGTATTGTATAGACTCTCTCAAGTTGTCCCAATTTGTGTTTCAGGTATAAAATTAACATTATTAGTGATCCTGTAATATTGTGAAGTCTATTGATACCTCACTCAATGTGTTCCAGGTATGCGCCCGTTCATCCCTGATAAGGACGTCGGGGTGTTTGAGGGTTTCCTGGAGAGCATTGGGATCCGGGAGGGCGGGATTTTAACCGACAGCTTTGGACGAATCAAACGCAGCATGAGCAGCACGTCGGCCACGGCCATGAGAGGGTATGTAGGTCAGGAGGTCATACATGAAGGTCTCAAAGCTTTCTCTTAATAGTAGGGCCGCTGTGGCTCAGTGGTAGAGTCGTCGTCTGAAGGTCGAGTTGAGAAACATCGATTTAGATCATTTAGTTTGTTTGATTTCCTCCCAGCAGGTATGACCACAGCTCGATGGCGTCGGGATCTCAGGAATTCAACCGACGCATCACAGACATCACCCACGACATCCAGGCGCTCGGCTTCCAGGACACACACGGTGACATCGAGGAGGAAGACTACTACCTCTGATGGAGGGATGAAGGGGAAACACAGACACAGTGTGACACAGTGTTTGAACTTTCTGTGTGACCGAGTTCTCTCCTTCGACAGAGAAATAAACTGTAAATAAGTGATGAGGTTGCTTTTTTTTAATGTTATAGAATATATTTCCCGCTTTAGGAAAAACAGAAAAGAAAACAGACGGACATTAAAGTAAAAAATGTGTAAATAACCAAGAGTCTGTTGTTCTTTAGAAAAACAAAGCTGCCTTTACTCATTTCAACTCATTCAATTCAAACACAGATTGTATTTTATCTAACTGTACGATATCATTCAATTCAAAACTTTACTGTAGGCTGAAGGTCCGGATAAAAAGACAGCAGGATATATACCTAACTGTAGACTGTAAATATTCATGGACAGAGCCTGAGTGAAGTCACCCATCTGTTCCTGCAGGGCGTCCCATCGATGGCGGTCGCCATGCTGAAAATACCGTCTCACCTTAACTTTCCGTCATCCTAACGACAAGCTGAGAGCTGGAGCTGAGGCGGGTTTTAAACCTCTTCACATTAAACCGTGGACATACAGTTACTAAATATTGCTTGAGAATATGGAAACGTTTTATGCAACACATTGCAAATTAATATTTTATTAAGTCATTAGGCATACAACTAAATTAAGGCTTCTTACTGCTGGACTTTACATTTCCACTTGCCACTTTTCAGCAGGAGTTGCAGTACCTACCTGTCACCACATGGGGGCATCTGAGGACAAAAAGAGCTGATTTCACAGCCCTGCTTCTGACCTATAGCCTGCAATAATCTGCAGAAAGACCAACAGAAACAGAAACCACAGAGATAGATATCAAATGTATATGGTTAACACTTGTGTATTTATTCTGTGCATGTCATACTTCATTATTTAATTTAATGGTAACAATGACAACCACAAATAGAAATATCTAAAATCTGCCCCTCTGCGTGTGACTCCCCCTCTCTCTCTCCATGCTGCATTGACCCGTTGTCCTGGCGGCAGCATCATGACCTTCCCATGGTGCACTGCTTCTCTGCCCCCCAGTGCTCTCCTCTGCCAGCCTCGCTGAACATCAGAGAGAGAGAGAGAGAGAGAGAGAGAGAGAGAGAGAGAGAGAGAGAGTCAGTGCCGCCCATGGGCCTCACCCGGGTCATGATAGCATCCACAGTCCCTTTATGTAACTGTCTAACTTTATGTTGTTTACATTTTAATTCTTTCATATTACTTTATTCACACACACTGTGATTAAAAATCTCTCTCTGCCTTGGATTGCAGTACACACAGACACTGCCAACACATTATATTCAATAGATTAAAAACTGATATTTGAATATGCAGCGCGAGTTGAGCTTGAACAATGCTGTGACATAATCATGACCCTTTTTTTTCTGCAGTGACATCATTGCATTTTTGCATTGTCATTGGATGCAAACAACAACGGTCATATCTGTGATATTTCCTGTGATGCACCTAAAGGTTCCACAGATAAAATCCACAGTAAAAGCTGGGAGATAATATCCAGCTCTGGTATCAGGACGGGGGATAAACTCTGAGCTCATTTCTGCCCATCGAACTGTAGTTTTATTGTGTGTGTGTGTGTGTGTGTGTGTGTGTGTGTGTGTGTGTGTGTGTGTGTGTGTGTGTGTGTGTGTGTGTGTGTGTGTGTGTGTGTGTCAGGGGCAGCAGACACATTGTATAAACTCATCAACAGATTACAGCTCTGCAATCGTCCATGTGGCGGCATTTACTATCATATCATCATCCTCCTAGTGATGCGTGCAGCACACACATGCACACACACACACACACACACACACACACACACACACACACACACACACACACACAATCCCTTCCTCTGTTTGTCCTCTGCAGCCTTGCAGCACCATGGATACACCTGTTATTGTTACCTTTAAGCTCTATCAAATCTGAACCGTTTCTATGGTTTGGTAACAAAGTATAACTTATAATAATGCAAATAGTTTGTATTTGTTCATAAAGATGTGTTTATTTGATAAACAATCAAATTGTTTTACATGTCGTGTCTTCAAAGTAAGGCTAAATCTCAGTAGTTGTGTTATTCAGTGGTGTGTCATCACTGAGAGTGATAAGGACATCGAGCAGATAAAATGATGAAATGTAAGATACGTTTTTTTTTGTGATTTCCATAAACAATCTGTATGCTAATGAAAATATATCTGATATCCTCAGATAGTAATTAAGTTCACAGACGTGACCAGCGTTTTGTTTTCCTCACAATTAATCAGTTTATATCAAGTTTTGACGTTTCATTCTAATGAAACATGTAGATTATTACAAAGTCAAACAAAGGTCGAGTCATTTTAGACTGCAGAAATGATTTACTCTCCTTCTTTACATTTATTATTATTCTATATATTAAACAAAGAGATGTGGGATAAGGGGCGCTGGTGGGACAGTGGTGCTATAATCCTCCAAGCGGGTGGCCCAGGTTCAAATCCCACTTGTGGCTCCTATCCAGCATGTCATTCCTCTACTACTCTCTCTCTCTCCCTGATTTCTGACTCTATGCACTGTCTCCCTCATTTACAATGATGGTGAGATACAAATCAAAACAAAACAAAAAAAAGAGCTCAGAGAAAACAACAAAGACCGGATAATTCTTATTAAAAACTAATCACACACTTTGGTTAAGTGGTTTGAGGTCATTCTCTTAATTTGTCCAACAGAAACAAGAGTGTCAATCTTTAGAGAGTGTTGTAAATTATTCCACATTTTTGGAGCAAAAAAACAAATTCAGATTTTCCAAGTTCAGAGAAAACCTGCAGGACTTGAAGCGATAGACGGTCAGTGGAGCGAGTTCTGTAGAGCGAGTTCTGTAGGGTCCGCTGGTCCAGTTCAGCAGAGATGTGAAGTCATGATTTATGTAACTAACCCCCAGGAAACATTTGTTTTTCTTCATCCAACCCTTGGTGTCTCAGTGCTCCTCCTGTGCAGAAAACATTGTGACATTGCAAATATTAGAGACTGAACCCAAGTTCAGCACTAACCTGTGTTCACCTTTCAGCACATAAAGGTCAGACGAGCAGTCGACATTTAGTGCAAAGGTTTGTAAGAACAACAAAACAAGATATTTATGGGTTAAATATCATAGTTTATCCCCATCCCAGTTTAATATCAATTTGAATACGTAATAAGATTACATCATGCAAATGAAACATAGATTTGAAGAGAGATCAAAAATGATTAAATGAAGATGACGTCATCTGTGGATTCCCATCCTGCTGTTGATCCAGCTGGAAGGTCGGTTTCAGTTCACTTGTGGCTCGTTTAGATGGAGGGGATCGGGGGGGGGGGGGGGGGGGGGGGAGTGTACAATAACAAGCTCCCGGCCTGCAGGGATTAAAGTGTGTGTGCGCCCTGCAGGTTATATTTAGCCGCAGCTAACAGTCAAGGTGTGGTCGCCCCTGCTGAGCCGACCAGGTGTCACTCAGCCCGGCACTGCTGTCAACCCGGAGGGATCACCACAGAGACAATCCACCAAAGTGCCAACAGCCAATCAGAGCAGCTGTCAGGTGGAGGTGCAGAAACAAGAAGGTCAATGCTGCGGTGTCAAGGCTCTGTACGGAAGAATGACACTGCAGACAACTTTACAACAACGGCACTTTAAAAAAGAAACTACTTCAAATTCAACTGTAACATTCTGCATTAAACCACACGGTGCCTTCACTGCCATGAAAATCTGAGTTTTTTTCATATATTAATGTATCTAGATGAATAGTACGGTGGCTGGGAAGTGCAAAGCAAAATTACAATGTGTGACACACTTTTGCAAAATTTGAGACAAATTTACATTTTAAAAAACATTTTTACATTTCATAAAACAAAACTAAAATACTTTTACTGAGGAAAAAACACATTTACATTTTATAAAACAAATTTACAAGATGTGAAACATTTTTACAAACTCCAGACTCTTGACGGAAAGGGTATGTACCAAATACTGGAAGTGACCCGAAAGTTATGAAACGAGTAAATTTGTTTAATAAAATGTAAATGTGATATTTCCTCGGTAAAAGTGTTTTGGTTTTGTAGTTTTGTTTTATCGAAATGTAAAAATGTTTTTGAAAATGTAAATTTGTCTCAAATTTTGCAAAAGTGTTTCACACTTTGTAATTTTGCTTTGCACTTCTCAGCCACCGTAGAATAGGCTTATAAAACATAATACATCATTTTCACCAGATGTTATTACACAATAATGTATCATCCCTTCGAGTGAACTGAGGATCCTTAAGTTAAAAACTTTAACAAAAAATCTCCTAATTCCTAAATTCATAACCTAGCCGAGGGATTCATGTTTAAAATAGTGATTCCCAAAGTGAGGTGTGGGACCCCGAGGCAGGGCCCGGAGATATGACGCTAGATATGATGCTCAACACGGCTTGACAAGAACAACTTCCTGCAAGCAAAGCATGGCACATTTTGAGGGAGGACCTTCAGGTTGACATAAGGCTGCAGAAAATGAATCTCAACAGACGTCACAGATTTGAACTTTTCATGTCACAATATCACTTTTTGATTGCTTCCTCTTAAAACGTGGCTCGTTGAGTTCTGCAATTTGACGTCACACACTGAACTGCTCTTCTGTACTTTTTGCAGCCAATCTTTGAGATGAATTCTAACGAGTATCGCTTCAGAATTTGTTAGCGAAGAGCGCGACTAACTAGTGTGTTATGTCCATATCTGTTGATGTGTGAGGGGTGAGGGGGCTTGAACATATTGAATCTGCCGGGGGGGGGATCGTTATAGGGCTGCTCGAGTATGGCAAAAATCCTTATTTTTGATTGATATTAAGATCACGATAATTAAACATCTATTACATTTTACAACTTAAGAGTAAACGCTCTTAACAGTTAATAATACGTAATGAAATGCAAATGATAATGTGGAATAATAAATAAACTAACTGGGTTCTTCAGGTAGTGGTGATGTACTCTTGTGGTCAACATATAACAACAAACACTTTTACCACAACCTGTGATCAAAAACGAGCACAACATCGCGGCACAATAATAGTTATGTCTCGATTATCTTGTTTTCATGATCGTGTAAAGGCAAAATCGTTACTGAAATAATTGACACTTGATTAATTGTCCAGCCCTTTAGGACCCTTCAGAAAAACTTTGGGAACCAGTGGTCGGCCAATCCAGTAGAAAAAGAAATACAGATAGAAAAAATAACAGACTTTAAAAGCGCTGTTTATGCAGAGTTTTATCTCCTGACACATTTTTCATCAAATCTTAAACAACTACCATCTATGGTCTGTATTTACATTTTTTCCTAACAGCATGCTTTGGTTTGCAGCGTAGCCAAACGCCTCCCCAAAGGGCTCGGTGCCCCACGTCATCACGCACTCTTATTTCCGGCCAATGAGAGCCGAGGAGGGCGTAAAGGTCTCCCTCGCCGGGTAAAAGGGATTTGACAGTTGCAGGTCTCGAGTTGATCCACTTCACTTTGACTTCCTCAGTGGGTGCTGAGACCATGGCGGCGGCGGCGGCTGCTGCGTGCGGCCAGCCGAGCGCTGCGATAACGACCTCCGTGGGTGGTAAAAAAACGACGCACACGGGACGGGAACACAGCCGGAGGAACCGGGAGAACTCACGCCGGAGGCAGGCTGCTCTTTTGTTTCTCAGTAACATCTCTCTGGACGGGCGGCCGGTCCTCGGTAATCCCGTTGACACTGTTGGGAACCGCTACCACAGAGAGGCTGACACGGGGGGAGCCGACCCCTGCTGCGCGTCGGCAGCGTCCCCGGATCCGGGCAACAACAACAGCTACGGGACGTTCTCCCATTTGGCAGTGACCGGGAGCTCCGGGACGGTCAATCCTGCCACGGCAGTGAGGATGGGACTCCTGAACATACCGCCTATTCTCGTCCTGCCCTCGGACACGGGGTACAACGATGTGGGGAGCGCGGATTTGTTGCTGGACTGCCGCAGAGCCTCGTCCCCCTTACCGGGCAACAGCAACCTGCTCTCCCCGTCCCCGACCCCGACCAACAGCAACCAGCTCTCCCCGTCCCCGTCCAACAACAGCCTGCTGCCGTCTCCTCTGGGACCGCGGAAGTCCTCAACCTTGCTGTCTGTCCAGAGCTGTAACTCGGTGTCCTCTGAGCCCAGACAAAGGTGAGAGACCCTCAGCTGGGTTTTTGTTTTTTACGCGCATGAATACGCGCGTGTGATTCATGAACGTGAATGTCTGAATGTTACCTGGAAGTTTGAGGGAGGAATTTGTTGTCATTGTCACACACACACACACACACACACACACACACACACACACATAGGGACCCCCTGTTGTGAGGCTGACAGTGGCCTTAAGTGGCTCATGACTTTGGATCTGATGTAGTGCTTCACATTAGTGTGTGTGGTTTCCAGTCATTTCACTGTCGATTATAAGGAACTTTTGAAAGTGTGTCACTGATGGTGATGCAAATTTTCCTCTCTGTTTATGTTCCCTCCCTACATGAAGGAGGTCACACTGGATTCAAAGCTTTCACTGTAGGCATGAGGATGTTCTCAGTAATAACATGAGGTGATGAACATCTCACTGAATGAGTGATATAATGTCACAACACAGGGAGGCGTCTTGACAGATTTTGTAAACATGACTCAGCTCACTGTTATAATATCTTTACACTTGAACTAATTTCTGTCTTGTTCATTAATTCTCATTCAATATTGTCGCTTTTAAATGAAGGGTTTTTTTTAATTGTATTGAATAGGTAAGCCAACATTATTTCTTATGACAGTAATGTGATTTTTTTTTTAACCCTTTAGTCTTTAAAACATTTCAGAAAATAAGAAAATCTCACCTTCTAATGTGATTTATTTCATCCGTCTCATGATTATAAAATACAAATCTGTCTTACTTTGTTTCTTAATGAAATATTCTGCACTTTTATGTCTTTAAGAAGTCATGCATTTGCTGACTTGAGCATATTCATATCCTACAAAACCATCACAGAAGGTTTTGTAGGCTAACCAAATTAAAATAAGTTAGCTGTACTGACTACTTTAACATTACCAATGTCAATGCACCCATGATCATTTCTCATAAAACTGATCATACATCCACTTCATGTTATTGCCAAACAGATATATCCATGTTTTATTTATAATGACAGATACAATATCAATAGACAAACTGAAAACAGCAATCCAATGCATTGCATGCATTCCTCAAGATCTCTGTTTTGTTTTCTCAAACCTTGTTCTAGACCTTCAGATCACCCTTAAATCTTAATAACACCATAAAAGCATCATCACACATCAGGAAGTAATAGCAGGTACAAACTTTGAATATCCGACCACCATGCACTTCCTCTTTAAAACGCAGACCAGACCTTTTCATACACTTACAGATCTATAACATCTCATACATCATGCAGAAACATGTTTTGCTCTTCTTGTTGATAATTTGAGTTCCCTCCTTGCACACGTGTTCTCGTGAAAAACACAAGGTTTAGCAACATGCTGTGGTAGCTAGTGACTTTGTGGAGGGGGAAGTGGAACCAGCGGGAGGGTTAAAAAAAAAAACCACAAACAAACGGCGTGAAGTTTAGCCGTTTACTGCGGCACAGTGACCCAGAATCCGTTTAATTGAAGTGTCTGCTGGGACTCTGGATTACTTTAAGTCGTCGCCGTTAAGAAACAGAGGCAGACAGAGACAGAGAGGAGAGTGTTCAGAAATTAAAGATGGAAAAATGAAGTTGGTCTCGACTGTGTGGCTGTGGGTTTTTTTTAAGGAAGTGATTGACAGTGTGTGAGTGTGTGTGTGTGTGAGTGTGTGAGTGTATGTGTGTGTGTGTGTGCTTACTCATCTGGCGGTGGTTGAGACATGCTGGGCCCGTGTGAGTGCTGATGGATGGCTCGGCTCTCGTCACCGCGTTGGCAGAGAATCAAAACCCAGAGAATGTCAGCCCTGCAGCGATAAACACTGCTTAACCCATTTACACCGAACAACAGGCGGGAAATCGGCAGCAGATAACAGCTCGTCGTTCAGGCTGCTGCAGCAGACATCCACAGCTCCATGCTGACACTTGATTTGTTCACACGCAGCAGCTCATACAGGATTTTATTATATTTCATGTCAGGCTGTTTCTTTTCTTCAGAGTGACATTGGAACACTTGATTTGTTGATTTCATTTTTTGACTCATCTCACAGTTTCTTTTGAAGCTGGTGACAGATGGGACTGGAGGCGTGATGTGTTCGGGTACCAGTCTGTACATCTGCCTGTCCCATGCTCGTGATTGTATCTCCGGAAAAGCCTGGGGTGACAAATCTTCTATTCTGACTGATTCCCTTTAGTAGATCAAAGGTCAAAGTCGTTGCAATCCCTCTAAAACGGTTTCGGTCGTAATTGAAGAATCCAAACACAGTTCTAGAAATCAGTTCTGTTCCAGGTTCTTGTGAGCGTGACATATTATACAGTAATACCTTTAAATTTGAATTGATTGTTTGGAAGTCAAGGGGCCTAGTGGTTCCCTGTGGCCAGGGGTTCAAGTCCAACCTCGGCCATTTGCTGTACGTCTTCTCCCCTCTCTCTCTCTCTTTCTGGCATTTCCTGTCTCACCTCAGCTGACTCGTCTAGTGGAGGCAAATTCATTCTCCTGAATGCAACATCGCAGAAACATCTGGAGGGACTTTGAGAAAAAATATATTATTAATTCTTCCGTCTGAGAGGAACGTAATGATTACTAGTTGATCAGCAGACAATGTGTTCTCATTCTAACCCTTGCGTACCTGTTGGCCTTTCATTGCCTAAAAACAGTCACACATAGAGAGAGACATTGGCCCAATCTCGATGTCCACCCTCACACACTCACTGACTTTGGTGCTCAGTGCCGTCCCAGCAAGTGTTTGAGGGATCTCTCGCTGACTTTACGGGTCCTTTATGCACCCTGTCCGTAAGTGGGCATATCTGCAGACTTAACGTGAGGGAATTACCCAGAGTTCATAGCATCGTGACGTGAAACATATGATTTCCCGGGGAAGCCCGCAAGAATGGAAAGGTAAACAAGCACCATAAAACGGAGAAAAGGTAGAGACGGTAAAAAAACAGGAAGGTGAAGCCACGCTCTATTTACAGTCTACTGAAAAAGTTTCTTTGGAAACGACAGCTAATTCAGAACTCTACTGCAAGTCTATAAACAAAAACAAGAGAGACAGAGAGCATATTAGTCCCGTTATGTTTATAAAATAAGATTAACCTTTATTTTTCCCACAACGAAGACATTTATATATAGGCCTATATTGAGTAGAACTTCTTATAAGCGCCATGGCTGTGAGTGAGTAAAGTGAAAAAGCGTAAAATGAGCTTTTGCTACATGACATCATGCAGTCATGGTTACAGAGAAGTTGCAAAGTACTGTCCCATTTGTATTTAACCGTTGGAGCCCTCGCAGCCTCATGCACTCAATCACTTTCCAGGTGACGTCAGTAAAGTCAGTGAGGGCTCAGGGTTTAGGGAGGACATCGATATTCAGCCATGTGTCCCAGTGGTAAATAATCATGATGGCACCTGAACTGCTAAATGTTGCCTATTTGTGCAACTTTTGTGGGCTCGGGGTAAAATGTTCTGTAGAATATTTTCTGGCCACAATGATTGTGTCGAAAACACTGATGGATATATTTCAACTTGACTGATTGACTGGCAATTAAAACTAATGATTTTTTAGATTTTAAAGTACCAACAAATGGCGCCAAAGATCCTGGAGTCCACGATGACACGTTGCTTGTTTAGTCAACTCAACAATCCAAAAAACCATCTGCATGCAAAATCTCACATTTACTAACATCCTTACATCTGATGGACGCTGAAGCCCCTCACATGTTTATATTTTATTAAGATGAAGTTTGAACCATTTATTGCACCAAGCAGATACATCACAGCTTTAATGAACACGTTTCAATGGAACGATTGAGCTTTAAGTTTTACATTTGTGCTGCTGCAAGAACCCTTTCTTTATTGAGTCATTAAAAGTTCATCTGATTCCTACTCATGAGCTACTTGAACATATTAATGTTGAGTGTCTTTCCGTTCGCTGTCGCGGTTTGTATCGAATAGAGCAGCTTCCTCCTCCTCCCCTACACACTTCCTGTTGTAATGAAGTTGGCCGTCGTCTGATACGCTCATCAGTCACACTCTGTCTGTCCCTCTCTCCGTCTGTGACACGGCTCGGTGTGTGAAGTCCTGCCAGCCAGCTAACCACACACACACACACACACACACACACACACACACACACACACACACACACACACATTTCTACTGTGTTCATGGTGACAGTGATGTAATGCATATCTCATACCGTTGCTGCCAGACAACTCCATGACTTACTCTTGATTTTTCTCCTGAACGCCATTAACCCTTAAAGGCTTTATATGTGATGTTTTGATCCAGCAGATGTCGCCCTTGAGCACCAGCATGAAACCAAAACAACTTGCGCTGCATTGTTGTGTTAGCGTGCTAATGCTAGCGATCTTTATTATGCTGGTATCTTCACACTGCATGTAAATTTACCTGAAATGAGCGTGATCTAGAAACACAGTTAAGCAGTGAGTACAGTATGTTATTCTTCTTTTCTCTAGTCCCTCAATTAAACAACTTTTATACACGAGGGGAGGAGTCAGCCGGCCGTCCGGGCGATGTAAACAAAGTGAAGATAGGACTCTGAAAACTCTGAAAACATCACAGACAGTGGGACTCGGGTGTTACACCCATTGTAGACAGTCATGACTCACAGAGTTATTTTCAGAGGATATACTGGATTTATATTATATTTAAATGTGAAAAATCACATATCAAGCCTTTAAACTGAAACATAAGTGTAAATCAGCCTCTTTTCAAACAGAGAGGATGTGACTCCTCACTCTGAAGGACATCACAAAGATACAAGTGCAGGAAGCAGAGGGACACAGTGCAGAGGCTGAGCTGAAGGGTTTTGTCAGTATTATGACCTTAAGTGTGTGTATGTGTGTGTGTTCATGTGTGTTTCGGCCTACCCTGAGGTCTGTGATGCCTATACAGAGCATTACAAAGGACACGGTTGTCCTTTTTTCCACAGAGGCTGTTTGCAGTCAGCTGTCTGTGTGAGTTCGGTCGAGTGTCAGTTATGTCGTG